TATTGCTTCAAATTTCCTAATTTTAAAGAGTGAACTTTTTCTTGCCTAAAGTAAGCTATGTTCAGGTGAAATAATGTTTTCTTTTTTTCTCGATATTTATTTAGAAGTATTTTATAAGAGTAATTTATGTAGGGTTCCATTTAGTCTGTAGTTTATGTCACAGAAAATTCTTTTGCTATATATATGCCTATAGAAAACGACCGTTTCAACAAGACTATAAGATCATGGATGTATTTGATAAGTTAAATGGTCATGGATGAATATTGCCGAATGGTCAGTATTTGAACAGCTCATGACCCTGACTCAGTGCATTTCGATGAACGTGCACAGAATGCAGCCTTGGACAATCCAATGCAGGGCAATCAGTAGAAATTTGTTTTAACTCTATCTTGTTTCATTCTTTTGTGTAGAGAAGAGCCTGGATGCTTGACCTTTATGTCAGCGTGTGACCAGTTCCCATGGAAAACTGGTGTTAATTTTGGCGTCCGCGAAAAGTTCTGTCCAAAGCAACTTGGTTCTAAGTTGTACTTCGAAATGCGCAACGTTTTACACAGGACCTAACTGTGACTCGAATTACGGACTAATATTATTGGACGGGTCGCTTCCCTTGGCTCCGGAATGTCCCGGTGCGCTTTGGAGGATTATGGAGTGGAGGGAGGGGGTGGGGGTGGGGTTGCGCTTCTGACTTCACCTTTTTGGAAATGTTGGTGCGCTTTATTTTTTCGTCCCCATCGACACAGTATACGGAAAACATACAACATTTCAACATCCACATTTCCCTACTTGGATGAATTGTACAATACAGCTTGCACTTTTTTGGACAATAAATAACATCCCTTGTTCCCTCAAATAAAAATATCAGTCAGCAGTAAAAGACCTAGGCTTCTGGTCTGTAATAAAGAAAGACACAGAAGGTCGTCTTTACCATCATCCGTCAAAATTCTTCCATCTTTACCATCTTGTTACAAGTATTCATATGATTCATAAGTTTATAACATTCAAATATACTGTGTTCAGTTTATGGACCAGCCAGGACAGAGGGGGTCATTGCACGTTCGGTTTAATCTGACAGTTTGGTTTGTGATGAGCGAGAAAGTAACACATGGTGCAATCTTGGCAAAACAATGCTTTTTTTGTGATCTTCAAACAAAATGCAGCAAGATAAAGATTCACATGCGTGTCGTATCGTTAACCAATATACGGTGGTTCCGAATTCAGTGCTATTTCTACGACAGGACCTACGTAGATCTAGTTTTCAATAAGTTTGTAAACGAGAGTTTTTATCACTTGCGAACAGCAGACAATTTCACGGCCGGTCGGCCATTCTGCCACGCCTTCTGCTAGTCGAATATATAATTTCTGATTATAAACTTCGTGATTATGAGTCCAGTTACCTAACCACTAGACCAATAATACCAACGTTGTAAATGTTAATGATAACTGGCTGGCCGAGAATGAATCAGATCTAGAAATAGCTTTGTTATAATTATTTATAGATCACATCATAGGTTGGAAAGTAATCTATTCCACCATCACCACCCCTCTGACTAAATCCAGGACAGCCTTGTTATATTCACAGGCTACATCAAGGATTTGAAAATACCCCGCCAACC